TTTATGACTACTCTCTTCCAGAAAAATTCAGTCATTAATGAATCATAAAAATTGTATTCTATATAAGAAAAGATTCAAAACCATGGTTCTGATGAATGTGTGCTGTTTTAACTGCATAAGCACACATATACCTTTCATTATATAATTGCCACTGAGATTTAAACATTTCTCTTTCTGCTTTTCAATATATTACTTTCCAACTTGTTATTTTCATGAAGAATTGGGAATTCTTTCTCACACAAATACCCACTAAAGGCAGTAAAATACTACTTCAGAACTCCTGCTTTTGCTTTTCTGTTAAGTGTTATCAATCAATAGTAGTATTTTGAGCAGTGGCAAAATTTTACATAACGGCTTTTAGATGAACCATGAGAGAACAATTAAAATGAGTAGTAAAGTCCCAAACAGGATTAGAGAAGTTCCTAAAACTATGTTGATGTCTCAGTGTCCCTCCAGATGCTGTCAATGCTAATAACTTCAAAACAACTACCCTAAAGGTAGCCAAGTTGGAAAAATAAAAAGGCTAAAAAAAAGGAAGGAAATATCACATAATCTTTGTGTGTGTGTTGCTTGACTGGAGCAGCAATTCATGACTTAACATCATCTTCAAAGTCAGTACTGATGTTTTAAACACAGCATGAGAAGAAGCAATCAACAACAGACCACTGAAACACATCTCTCTTCTTTCTAGGTCTTGCTTGAAAGATTATGAGTGAGATGGGCCAGAGAGATGAAGTCTTTGTTTAACAGGACCCCAGCACAGCTCAACGTTACAATCCCAAAAGGAGTGTCTTTGTGTTTTGGTTAACTCCTTAAAACGTGAGGTCCAAGAAACACACACAAATCTCTGTAAAAAACCCAGGGTGAAGGCTAGGATCTTTTGGCCCGTAACAGATGCATTAGCCAGGCTCTGAATTACACTGCACTTAAAAGAAGAACAATCAGTGAACTGAATTGTCTACAGTGCTGACAAACTGACACCACTAAGGATCACACCACAGAAATCCCACGTAATGCAGCACCCTGTGACGTACTTGGCCATGACAGCTTTGACCACAACTGAACGGCACTGAAAGAGGCTAAAGATAAACAAATTTTTCTTTTATCTCCAAAGTAATAAATAAGACTCTGCATTCCCTCACAATAACTGCTTTGAAATTTCACACAGATGTATAGACAAGAGATGCAAATATGACACATATAAAGTGTCTTAATTTCTGCTAGACAGATTTGGCTTATAAAGCTAATTCCATATATTACAAACCTACAGCAAGCCTAGATTCACCACAGGAGTCTTCCAGGCAAGCTCCAGGATGTCATCTCTGAAGTGCTTTACTACCATGAGCAAAATCTCCACCAGAAATACAAAACACATATGCTACCCTAAACAGCACAGGAGTTGGGAATCCCCAGTGCCTCCAACTGTAGTATTTTTCTGATATAGAAGAAATGATCCCCTGTTTAGACGCATTCTGGACAACAGATACAAACTTCAACAGAACAGGCACACTGCAGTGCCAAGTGAGTGAGTGATGCAACTAGGAGCAGGAGAAACATACATTTTGCTGCGTCTCTGTGGAGGTGGATGAAGACAGACATTGTCAAATCCCAAGCAAGTACATTAATCAAAAAACAATGTTCCAGTTCTTCCTTTCTGAAATTTCTACTCCACTGGAGCTGTAATTATGTACCATAGCTCCTACCAGAGTTTTCCACACAAAATGTTTTCCCATGTTTTGTCAGATAGTACAGTCCATTTGAAAGCCAGAGCCAGCAGCTCTGCCAACTGCATAGAATCTCACAGAGTTTTATAGTGCACTTTGGTCTGCTTGAAAGCAAGACTTGCAAGGAACCTACATAAATACAACAGTGGCTCTGCTGACATAGCAGAGTGTGTCAGTGGAGTGACTCAACACAAATAAACGACTTGCAAACTGAAAGGCAATACACACCCCTAAAAGGTCTCAGTGCTGAGGACTCAAAAACTGGTGATGAACAAAGCACTTGCACCTCAGATCAGGCATGACTGTCACACATTTTGCTGCATGAAAGCAACAGCTCATCTGTACCAGAGTTAGACACAGGATCCTCAATAACTTTTCTGTGGCAGCCACACAGGGATGCAAAACCATGCCACCAGAAGGTGCAAAGCTTGGCCTTGCACAAGCGGTTGAACCTCTGAACATTCATACTTCGCCCTGAGCAGCTGTGACTTGAGGCTCCTTTTTTGAGATATTTCCAGAAGGTTTAGTCCAAAAGATTGTGTGTCCAACAACTGTGCGTATATTTCTGAGCTGCTCTCCAAACATGGAGGGAAAAGAAAAAATTTGAAAAAGAAAAATTCAAGAGGCTATTTTTAGGTTTTTGATATAAATAACTTAATATTCTTTATAAAATTAACTTTATTTTCTGTTACATATCTTAATTGACTGACTTATTTTTGTTTCCTTTTGATGCCTATGGCAGTTTGGAGTTTCAGGACAGACTCTATCCAAGAGTTTAGGCAGCTTTAGGCAGCTGAATCCAGGAAAAAAATTCTGAATACACATCTTTGCTGGTTCTTACAGCTTCCAATGCTTTATAATTAGAAATATTTCAAACAGTAAGACTCTACAGTTACAGCACGTAATTCTGCTGCTGTTTTTCTTCCTTTATGTCTAAGTTAGAGATAATGATTCCTTTTTCAGTTCTCAATATTTAAAGTTATTTAACTTGCTCTGAAAAAAGCTGAGATTGCTCTTGAAGATGTAATCAATTAATTAAGTGTAATCCACAGCCACTTCTCTCTGTGAGGTTTTTGAAGGTGTTTCTTACAGACCTTTGTCCTTCTTGTGAAATCCTGACAGTTTTAATGATGAGGATGATAAAGGGAAAGCTGTGTCAAATACTACATTGCTGCATGACTGTCTATATAAATGCTTTCTGACAGTAAGGTTAGATACAAAAAACTTTGTAATATTTTTTATGCTGAAGGGATTTAAGTAGTTTCCTGGAACAGAAATTCATACAGTTTGAAGATCTTTCTAGAAGATAGCCTTGTAAGTAATGGTATTTTTTTTTAACCTGTAATTGTGATGTGTCCATCACCACCTGTATATAATGTTCCTGGGAGATGTCTGGTACACAGCACATGAAGAATTAGTTATACAATTTACACTACTAATTCTGAATGCTACACATTTACTTCCATTTTCAATTCAGTTTAAAGAAAAGCAAGCCTCTAATCTGGGAACCTCCAAGATTATCCCTTAGTAATTGGTTTATACAATTTTTAAACTCTTTGGACCTGTCTGACTGAAGTAATGGCTGCCAGTAGTAGTGACTCTTACATCAATATTTTGGTGGAAGCGAGATAGAACACATCTCATAAAAAGCCATCTGTTTTAGTGAAGTTATTCAATAAAATATTCCACTTTCAAATTATGTGGATGTACTCCATCTCTCCTGAATGATTCATAAAAATATTTTGCAGCCTGAAATACCTCTGATCTATCAGAGTATTTTCTCCCATTTAAGATGTGATACCTCTCACTTAGACTTTGCCAAATTCCTCCAATCAACAGAAAATCCAGCTCTGGATAATCTCTGGATTGCTCTTCCACACTTAACAACCTTATTTCAATTATTTACTGACTTCCCATTCAAGATGGGAAAAGGTGGAAACAGTGGACATTATCAATTATAAAGAAATCTTTAATGAAGGACTGTTCAAACTTTTTATTTTGTATCCAGTGATCACACACACACACAAAAGGAGTCACACCTGTATAACTCCATTCCTGATGCCATACAAATGGAATGTACAGTCACATCCTTTCAAAACAATGACCAGGAACACCTCTAATTAAAACCTGAGTCTTGCACCATGCTGACACTAAAGTGGAAATGTTTCTGGTACTAGAAACACAAGGCTCCAGTCCTGGAAAGATTTCAGTCTGAATGCTTTCTAACCGAAATACAGGTAACATCCTTTTCACGCAGTGCCCTCTTAATTTGGTGACAATATTTGTTTGATGTTCATGTTCTAGGGTAAACACTCAGTACACAGTGAGTTGGATTAATTTTAAATTAAGACAAATGGGTACATCCATCCATAGGCATACCAGATGTCCAGGCTCTCATTTTGAGTGAGGCAACTTTAGAATTTATCTAAAATAGGGACCTAGTACCCAGTAAACATTCTTTAGGCTCCAAGGATTACAGGGATAAGATCATATGCTCTTACAGTAGCATAGTTATCTACACACGAGGTAACTATGCTACTATAAGCATATTTATGGGGACACTAAATTGGTTCATCTAAGTATCAAAAAATAACACCATTGTGTCTGTTCCAAAATACTCTAAAATCCAGAATAAAACCCCAAAATCCTAAAACAGGCAATAAAATTCACTACCTGTAGTGTATCTTGTGAAGAAAGACCAGGAATATTTCAGCTGAATGAGGAAATTAACAAAATGATACATGGAACAACACACACCAATGAATACAAACAAAATGCAATTTAGTCCTACTTGTTGTTTGTGCTATGGACATTATTTTTGAACTCTTCACTCATTTGCTTATATATTTTTAAAATAAAAATTTACAAGTAGCTAGAGAATGATGGATATCTGATGCAAACAAATTATTTTATTTAGATGCTCAAGAAAGAATACAAGTTCATTACATATGAATGAATATTCACAGTCTATCTCCATATAGCAAGAGAAACAATGTGGTTTTCCTGCATATTTTCTATAAAGTTGCTTTAAACTGCATTTTTATCAGCTATTTAGAAGTCCTGTACTTGGGAATAGGCTAGAAGTTCTTGCATGCATGAGCAAGAACTTTTTCAAATGCTTCAGAGCATTTATTATCCATATTGCCAAAAAGAACAATCACAAAAATCTCTGGTACTCTTCAAAATATGAGACAAACGGGTATTTTAAAAGTGCATAAAACCAGGAGAATATTACAGTATATGGAAATGGGATATGAAATAAAGTTTTAAACTTACCCTATTGACACTCCTATTTCTTAAAATAATTTGAATTAGATTTTTCTTAAATTCTTCTATCTTCTTGAAACACTTCTTCAAAACATGATTCGATAATTTAGTATCAGTTATTAAACTGATCAAAACACAAACTCCTTCATTAAGGAAACTTGGAGCTGGGAATTTAGGACTGTTGTAAAAAACAGTCAGTCCGTCAAGCAACTGAGACACTGAATTGCATATGGTGAAGGAATCATTCTCAAGCTCTGAGAAGTCTGCTTGAAGAATTCCTCCTTCTGACAGTTTTCTTATTTCAAGCAAATGTTGCAAAAAATGCACCGGAGCAGTCAGAGATTGCTCCTTGCTAGTATGGCAAAGAGTCAGTGGGGGAACTCTTTCCAACCAATGTTTAGAAGTGTTGACATTGTGCTCAGATTGGTGAAAATCTGAAGCTGTGCCTAAAGAATCAAATGCAGAGTCATTACAGACATCACATCCAGAGTCTTCTAGTTGGCTTGAGTAACTTGTAGGGTTTACAGATTCCTGACCCAGAATAGTTTCAGCAGAGGTATCCCGTTTTCCTGAAATGCAAACACGAAAATTACATTTGTGCAATGCTTAAATACATGCTCATTAAAAGTGCTATATATATTTTCTCCTTTTCACTTCCATGCAAAATTAATGTAATATATGTGTATGTTGACCCCCCAAGAACTTCCCATGACTAGAACTTAGCTGTGGAAGAAGCTATTTTTAAATAAAAGTAAAAAATTTCAGAAGTTATGTCTATTTGTGAACAATATGTTTTATGCTCATAGTAATATGAACAGTAATTTTGAGTTTAAAACTGTCAGAAATTTTAAGTTTTCCTATATGTAACTTAAGTAGACATAAACCAAGCAATTTAAGTGAATATCTATACTCCCATTAATTTCCAGGGAAGAAAATGCATGTAAATTTCTGATGCTCCTAATATTTTCACTCATTTTATTCTCAAAAACTCAGACTGCTTTTAAAAGACAGTGAAAGTCTGTTACTATAACTGCATCAAATAAAATATTCTTCTTTATGTATACTCTCTCTCCCTAGTCAGGTAGAAAATTCCAACAGTCAAAGTTGAACAGAACGTTAGGTTTGATTTTTTCATTATTTAACAAAGAGGAACATTCAGAATCAAAAGTTTCTTCAGTCATCACGTATCCTTTACCATCTCCTTCAAAGACACACAAACTACATTACAAGAGTATACACCAATAAATTACTTTCATGTGCTACTGCAGAATCTCCTTCATCCCATTTCACACATTATATACATTTAAGGCAATGCCTCTTGACATAAACTCAGCTCTAGGTGACAAAAGACACCTGCTCTACATGCTACCTGTGCCAAAATATCACAGTCAAAACAAGCCAGAGAGATGAAGTGGAAGACCAACACCCATAAACATCTCAGTGCCACGAGGCAAAGCTAGAACCCCCCTATCTGACCAACTCCCGGCTCAGCCCTGCTCACTGGGGCAGAGTCACAAACTGCTTCCCCTCTCACTCTTAGAAAACTTGCCTACACCGTTCATTTTCCATAAGGATCCCATGCAGTACATTACTCCTCTTAAATTAATTAAAACAAATTATAGATGGTTTGGTCTCACAGGAAATAGATGTAATATTTCATAGCAAGTTAAAAAAAGCATTACACAGAAAACATCCCTAAGCAGCAACCTACAGTATTCTGTATGTTAATAAAAAACTATTCAAAATTTTTAATATTGACTTCATTAAATTCACTATTTCAAATTAAATTCTGACCATCAATTCAGTCTCTGAAAACATACCAGTACCAATGAAACCACTATTATTGAGATCAAAACTGGAAACGCGGTTTATTATTTATGGTTGAGTTTCATGTGTTTAACATTGAGACATATTTGAAATTGCATAGAATTGGCACAAAACTGACTCAAAATGAAAGAGCTAACTGTAGGGAAATCAGCTGCCATTTCCAGGAAGTAGGAAAAGGCCTGGAAGGCCTTTTAAGGCCAGCCTAGCATTTTATAGATTAACACTGTTTCCAAATGCCTTGCATACCCAAACTGGGAAAGCAAGCAAGAAGCAAAGCACACTTCCTTCCCATGGTCTCACTAACAAGAACAGTAATCCATCTTTCACAGCTTCTCTCCCTAGGGTTTTGAGCAAAACACATTTCAGAAGAAAAAAAATTGAAAAGTGGTTTTTGGTGCCATTTAAGGAAAAGAAACCCTTCCAGGGGATCCATCTACTGTAAGTTCCACTATGTGTTTATTTTGTTCCTGTTCTCAATCCCATGGGGAAAACATAAGCATTGCTTATGAGGATTTAATGTCAGAAGTAACAAAGCAAGAACTATGTACAAAACCCCCATACGTATGTTTTCTGACTCTCTTGTGGAAGTGTAAAAGGAAAAAAAAGAAAAAAAAAAACAAACACTGAAGAGGTGAAAGAAAGGTGAAGTAATGAGAAGAAAAAGGGAAGAATAGTACAGCAATATCCATAGAAATCAAACTTAAGATGTTCCCAAATAAAAGAGGTAGGGTATTCAACGAAACACTCCTTCTACTACAAGACACTGCATTTATGGTTAGGTTCCTAGCCACTGCAATATCAAACTCCTGTTCCATGATGAGCTTCCAGAAAACCCTTTTACAGTAGATCTCCAATATCAGTGTATTTCCAGCTAAATGAATAATACAAAATGCTTAAAATGCTTAAAATTGTTAATCCATTTACATGTTCCAGTCATTTGGGGAGGAGGTAGCAGTTATGTTGTAAAAAGAAAGTAACAGCACACCAGGAAATACTCATTATTTCCCTCAAAATGTCTAGAAATAGCTTGTAATTTTTTCTTGAAAGGAGCTAAACTCATCACTTTGTACTTACCTACAATACAAATGAGAAAGCGGTCTTGCAGTCTTGATCTTCACACCATGTGGTTACCCAATTAAAAAAAAACCACCAAAAAACCAGAAATGGCATTAAGCCTGCCTCAGAATAACACAAAATTTTAAATACTAATGGCAAGAACATTTTACTATAAGTGTATTGGAACAAGAAATATGAAAATTTAGTGTGTGTGATAAAGTGACCACAAATTTTACAACACTATAAGCAATGAAATATCTGGTCACAAACAATTTTACAGTGTCCTTAAATTTGTCACATCAAATTCAGGAAATATTTAAGTTCTTAATTCCTACTTAGTACTTTAGTTCGTTACTAAACTAAGATCCTGAGCTAAAAACAAAGCAAGATCCTGAGCCCTAAACAAAGCAAGATGTGGTCCCACAAAGAGCCTTGGGGTGCAAAGGCTGAAGAACTCACATCCCTCTACATGAATCCACTGCTGCAGAAAGAATATGGACTGAAAATCAGAACCCACTCAAGGGATGAGGGAGTGACTTACACATGGCACAGTGTGCCAGCAAGGTGTGCAGGCAGTAGAACTGAGAACTTACATATTGCTGTGGGACCACAAAACAGAGGCTTTCATCTGAGCAGTGAGATGCCAGCCAGCCCCATGATTAGAGAATAGGGAGCCTTCAGCTAGTCCTAAGGAAGCAAAGCTCTAGGAAACACCAAAGTCCATCCCATCTCCCACATTCATTCTCTCACTACCCAATGCAGAGCAGAAGAGGCAGCTTGTAAAAGATCCGTGTAGTAGGAGCTCGAGTGGTGGAAGATGCTTTCTTAAGAAACTCTGCTGGTGGCTACCTCAGACTGGAGAACATTTGAACGAGAAAGGCCAAATGCTACATGTAGTTCTACATTTAAAAACTATAAGAAGGGTTCTCAACTGATGAAATTGCTGTGAAATGGTAAAATGATCTTCAAGTCTTTTGAAAAACTCAATCTACCTGCAGTTTAACCACCAACAGGAACTGCAGAACAGAAAACTGGCTTGAAGGTGGCAGAGGTGAGAAACAAAGTGAAGACATGATCTGAATTCTGCAAAGAAAAAATTACTTCCGTTTCAAGCACTAGACAGTGTTTATATTCTCTTATTTCATGGGCAGACACGTGGATTATCACTTGAAAATTAAAACCACTGACATCAGACATGTAAAGTTCTCTTAAAACTCAGTTCCACTTCAAAAAGAAAAAACAGGAGACAACTAAAACTGAGACATTCATAGCATTCTGCTTTCCAAGTAGGTGTTCAGTCAATAACCTCTAAAAGGAAATGAAAACATAAGTGAAATTATGTCCACATCTACATTTTTCAGGGCTGCTATTCTTCATTTAATTTTCATTGATTGATTTGTTTGAAGTGCACCTTCCATGAACAATAAACCAAGTTTATTCTCTTAAAACTCATACATTTTCTTTGCCCTTCATTTATGTGTAACTCTGCCTCTGTTCTGCTGTTTTCATTACTAACCAAGCTGACTGGCTGAGGAAAAAACAACTCTCCCTTCTTCATGAACTCTTATGTGCTTAGCACCCCATTGTTGTCCTGACCTGGAACCATGCCAAACTTATATTGACATTATTCCAAAATAATAATGCCAAAATATCATTATAGAATATTATTAGAATTCTCCAAATAAGAAGTCTTAGAAGCCTTGTATCCCACACTTTGCTTCTGCATCTCTATGATTTTTTTTTTGTAACTGGCTTGGAAAAGAAAGGTCCTTTGTTTGAATGCAAGGTGCTTTTTCATGCTTTATAATGCTACAAGTGCATGCTGACATATTTTATCCCTTTTAGGGATAATTTCACAGAAATGAATATAGGACTGAGTATGTAAAATTCTCAAATTGTTCAATGCTAGGATTTAAGTGCTTCTCTAAAGGCTTAGAAGCATATACTTCAATTTCTTAGGGATTTTGCTTACATAAAGCACCTAAATGTTTAGACTTCAGTAAGAACTGAGTAGGATTTTGAGGATACAAACATTCATTTTTAAGGGATCTCTGTAGATGACAGCACAAATCTTCTGTAGTTCTAGTCAAACAAAGCAAACTTGCAGTAAAGATATGAATGGATACATAATCAGGTGACAAACATAAAGATTCGGGTCGGTTAATGCTCACCAAGAAGCTTTGGCAACAAAAGATCTCAAAAGCTTTACAATGTTGACCATCTCAATGATGTGACTGAAATTTAAGTTCTAAACCAGATAGGGGATATTTCAAAATACTAAATGAATAAATGTTACCTCTAAAGACAACCTGACTGAAGTGGTAGTATGAAAGTGTAAGCATTATGTCTTATTAAAAATGCTCTGCATTATGAAACAAACTGAGCTTTGCTAAGAGACAGGAAATAGCAGCCAATGAAGACTGCAATAATCTGGATGCAACTTAGTGAGATGGAGGCTAAAATGAAGTGGACTCCTTAAGAAGTCATCTAAAGTGTACCTTCCTAAAAACATCCCTTTTCTTGAATACAACATGGTATAAATGCTTGGCTTTTCTGTCTATGTATCCAGAAGGATGCAAACAAAGATCTGCTTGAGAAAATAGATTCTAAGTTTAAGTTTGGTTAAGGTTGTCCAAAAGGTTTGTGAAATTTCCATTCTCAGAGATGCTTAGAAAACGTCTGGACA